GGGGGGGGGGCCAAGCGCCAGCCTCTAAGGCTCCGTCTCGCGTTTGGGTTTCCACTTTTCTGAGGGGGGCTACTCTTTGCACAGGGAATGTGCGACCCTGGTTCGCGTGGGTCGGTCGATGCGTGTCTAGTAGAGGGGGCGAGGCAGAGACGCGGCAGGGTGGGCAGCCTCATTCCTCTCCCTCTCCACCGCAGGGGCTCCTCCGGGTGTGTGTGTGTGTGTGTGTGTGTGTGTGTGTGTGTGTGTGTGTGTGTGTGTGTGTGTGTGCAGAACGAGCGCGTTTCACAAGGGAGTGAGCGACAGAAAAGTGGGACCTCAGTAGGGTGGGGGGGCTGGGGCGGAGATTGGTGGGAGGACAGGACAGGGCTGGCGGGCCGAGGAGGGGGGAATATATGCGTGCAGTGCCCGGCGGGCTCCCCTGTGGCACAGCTTACTCCATCAGCATGTTTGGTGGTACGGAGCATGGCCAGTTCCGGCCTTTCCCCCCTTCGTATGCACGACGGCCCGTGGTGTGCCCCCACGTTCCGCCCCCCACCGTCGCTGCTTCCTTCTGTCTATGAGATCCGAGGGGGGACGATTGCTGAAGGCACCGAGTCACCAGAGGATCACTCTCTCTCTCTCCCTCCCTCCCTCTCTCTCTCTCTCTCTCTCTCTCTCTCTCTCTCTCTCACACACACACACACACACACACACACACACACACACACACACACACACACACACACACAGGGCTGCGCGGGACAGGGGCCGCTGCCTACTCCCCGAATGTTGGTGGGCCCGCCCTCTGAGGACACACCAGTCCGGATTTGGGGCCTATGTGTGGGTTCGATTGGCTTACAAACCCGTTCCTTGCGCCCAGAGGTATGTGCACGAGACAGGCTGGCTATGTGCGCACAACATGGCTGGAAGACCGCCCCCCCCTTCGGTATGCTCGCCAGACCCGGCGCGATCGGGCGCCCTCGCCAGAGTTCCGACCCCGATGACACATCCCGTGCACATGAAATCAGCGCAGCCCGATGGCCGTCAAATCACGCCCCGTGCGTTGTCATCCCACCATGCTGCGATCTGCTTGTCCCTCGCGGGGCGCCTACCTCTGCCTTCATGCATCTCTCCGTGGGGTGGTCGCGCGTGTGCGCAAACACACCCATCCCACGATCTCCCCCCTCCCCGAAGGGCCGAGGTGGGGGGGGGGGACAGATCGGCTTTCTGCCCCTGTCCTGCTTGGTCACAGGGGACGTCAGGCACACCCTCCCGTGCTCGCGTCTCCCTCCACCTGGCGTATTTCCCCTCTTCCCGCCTCGCCTCCCGCCCCTCTCCCCCCGCCCGTCCTTGCCCCTCCCCCCGCCCCTCCTTGCCCCTCCCCCCGCGCCCGCACCCGGAGAACCCACTGCTCCAGCCTGTTCGATCACGGCCCTATGCTCTCGACGATTCGCGCTCTCCCACCGTCTCGACTCATCTGCCGCCTGCCCTCCTTCGCTGCTCCACTTCCGCCGGCCATCCTGCCGCTTCTTCACCGGCGCCGCCTCCACCTCTCCCAGCGCTCGAATCTGAACGGCCCCCAGTCGGCCCCTCACGTCTTTTCACTTCCCTCCCCCTTCCGGGCCCCTGCCGCCTTCTTCTCCAGCAGCAGCCACAAGAGCATGTCCACCGACGAGTCGCTTGCCCAGAGCCCTGTCATGACTGATGCCCCGATGTCATCCACCGTGGCTGGCGTTGTGAGTGCCACCATGGCCGATGATGATGTCACCACCACCGGCACCAAGCGCCCTTTGGATGACACCGAGTCCGACACCGACAGCACCGGCAAGCCGTATGTACTTCGATCACCTTTTCCTCCATGCGCGCGCCTTCCTCCCCTCTGCGGGACTTCGGCCTCGTCGGCTGACACACTCAACTCCCCCTTGCTCCTCCATGCACAGTGCCCGCAAGAAGAAGATGTCCAACAACCGGAAGCGCGCCTTCTCCCGGGACCCGAACGACAGTGACGATGACATCGACACCGATATCCCGCGTGATGCCGAGGGCCGACGCCTTCCCCGTCGGAAGGTGGCCATGCTGGTGGCCTTCTCCGGGCGCAACTACCATGGCATGCAGATGTACGTTCGCCCTGTTGAGTTGGTCCCGGCCGACCCTCTCCTGCTTGAGCGCCCCTTTTCCGGCACCCAAACACACATCCGTGCTTCTTCTCCCTCCCTCCCTCCCTCCCTCCCCCTCTGACGCACACACACGCACACGCACACAAACACACGGACACACACACACACGGACACACACGCGAATGAATATCCGCAATCGACCTGCAGCAACAAGGAGCTTCCCACCATTGAGAAGGAGCTGTTCCAGGCGCTGGTCGGGGCCAACCTCGTGCCGGCCGGGAACCTGGACTGCCCGCAGAAGTTCAAGTTTATGCGAGCCGCGCGCACCGATCGTGGCGTCCATGCGGCTGGAATGGTGGTCTCGCTGAAGATGGTCTTCCAGCCGGAGGTCATTGGCGAGACGATCCGCAAGCTTAATGAGCTCCTGCCGGCCGACATCGCCGTGATCGACATTCGCCGGACCATCAACTCCTTCCATGCGAAGAATCACTGCGATGCGCGTGTCTATGAGTACCTCATCCCGACGTACATGTTTGCCCCGAATCCGGAGTCGGCCGAGCGGGCCTTGACCGCGGCGCGAGCCCTGCAAGCGATGCATGCCGCGCAGCCGGCCCCCGGCTCGGAGCCGGCGGCCCCGGCGGCCACCGAAGTCGAGGCGGCTCCGGCTGCCGCGGCTCCCCCCAAGCGCCGGGCCGCCAAGCGTCGCGGCGGAAATCGCGATGGCGACGATGACAGCGGCCCCGAGTCGGACTCCGAGCTCGGGACGGAGGATGTCGCCACCGACCTCGGCGCCTTCGCCGACATTAAGTACATCCCTCCGCGGGACTTGGAGAACAGCCCGTTCATCTCGCCGGCCGACCGGGCCGCCTTCCGCATCGATGCGGCTCTATTGGACCGTGTCCGCCTCTTCCTTCGGCAGTATGAGGGGACCAAGAACTTCCACAACTACACCTCTGGCAAGCTGCCGACCGACCCGTCGGCCAAGCGCATCATCCACTGGTTCCGGGTGCGTCCAATAGCCCGCATCGCCGGGACACGGTCATTGTTCCTCGGATTTCCCGGTCGCCGGGTTGTATTCTGACGTCCCCCCGCCCCCCCCCCCCCCCCACCCTGGCCTGCTTGACTGCTTCTGCCTGCCTTTTTCTCTGCCCTTTCTGCGATCGCCTTTCGGCCGCAGTGTGCCGAGCCGCGCATCATCGACGGCGTGGAGTGGGTGCCCCTGCAGGTGAAGGGCCAGAGCTTCATGATGCATCAGATCCGTCGGATGGTGGGGTTGGTGGTGGCTCTGCTGCGTGTCGGCGCGCCCGAAGGCTGCATCAGCCTGACCCTGGGCTCCAAGGCGTGCTTTGTCCCCCGCGCCCCGGGGGCTGGTCTCTTCCTGGATCAGGTACGGTCTCGAGGGGCCCCCTTGGTGTCTTGTGCTTTATTTTAGGCCTCCCCCCCCCCTCCTCCTCCTCCTCCTCCCCCTCCTCGCCACATCTGACAGCCTCCCCCGTCGGCCTGTCCCCCCCGCAGATCCTCTTCGAGTCCTACTCGCGCCGGTTGATCAGCATCAACTCCGAGCAGCCGCCCCTGGACTGGAACATCACGCACCAGGAGACCATTGCGGCATTCAAGCAGTCGCAGATCTACCCCAGCATGGTGGAGGCCGAGCAGGAGGACCAGTTTGCCGAGTTCCTGGACTATGTCGACCGGCACTCGATCCTTATGAGCTACGTGTGGGACCAGGCGCACCTGACCGCCGACGAGCCTGCCTCTGCCGGCATTGACGCTGCCAAGGGCACTGCTCCAGAGGCGTCTAGCTGAGCCCCCCCCCCGCCTTTTTTGTCTCCGTCTCGCTGGCCATGGCCCCTCCTTCGGTCTCTCTCTCTCTCTCCCCTCCCCCGTTCCCTCTTTCCTCAGCGCCGTTCCTCGCATGCCCGTGCCTGGCCTTGCGCGCCGACATCCCTCTTCTTTTGTTCCCTCGCCAATGTCCAAGTGCTCCCCCTCCCTGCTGGAGAGCATACAGCGCATGGCTGGCCTTAAAGAGGGTCCTAATCTATTTTACACTAATCTAAGTTCCCTTGCCCCTTTCCGTCTCAGGGGGGAGAGGCTGTGGCACCGCCATCGGATACTGTCCCCTTCAAGGAGGCTAACAGCTGGCGCCATCTCCCCAAGCAAAAGACGACCAGGGAACAGGGAGGAGGGGCGGGGGGGGGGGGGGGGGGGGGGGGGGGGGGGGGGGGATGGGGGGGCCCGGGGGGGGGGGGGGGGGGGATTGAAAACACCCAGGGGCGCCGGGGGCCCACGGGGGGGGGGGGGGGGGGGGGGGGGGAATCCCGGCGGTTCCCTCGCTCTCCCCCCCTCCTCTCGGGCCCAACGTCTGATGCCACAGGGCCAGGGGTGTGACGAGCGTCACAGCAGCCTGGGACTCATCGATAGCATGCAGTCGGCAGCTCCGGGTCGGTCCTCTGACTGTATTTGCCAGATAGTGATGGCTTTTCAGACGTGCAACGGGTTCACCGGATGATGGTGCCAGCCTGGTGCGCGCGAGCGCGCGTGTGTACGCGCAAGCGCGCGCGCGCGCGCACAAGCTCTCTGCGGCGCTTCCCCTCTGATGACCGCGGGGTGGGGGACACGCACAAAAGCACCGATGTCGGAAATTGTTCCCCACCCCAAGCAGAATGGGCAGTTCAAAAGGAGCTTTATTGGAATGGGTAGAGGGGATGGGGGGGGGGGG